ATCTCCAGGTGGCCTCCACCTTCCCCCACGGTGCTTCCTTCTGTCTGTGCCTCATGTGCTCTTGTTCCTGGGGAAGGATGTCATGCTTGGTAAAGCAGAGGACCAATGAAAATGATGGGTTGACAATAGTGGCTGCAGAAATGAGCTCAAACAGAGCAGTGACCCCACAGCCCCTAACAGTGTTTGCTTTATTCTTCTTGGACTTCTTTTTATTGAGTGCCTGAAAGAGTGCCTAGCTTCATTTGTGGAGTGAGTTTGGGTGTTGCACCTACTGATCTAATTCTTTCATTTTCTTACCTTTTATCTTCAGTTTTATTTACCCTCTGTTTTGTATGTTTCTATAATAGTGTCAGGAGTTCTGGTGTGGTGCTGTAGGATAAGCACTGGATTGCTAATCACAAATTGGCAGTTCAAACCCATCAGCTACTCCTTGGAAACCCCATAGGGCTGCTATAAAGTGGAATCGACTCAACGATGCATAACAACAGCAATAATGGCCTCAAATCCCATAAGATATGTCATTATGAAGCTTTCAAAATACATAATTCTATAGAAGGCCTCATAATATAAGCCTAGAAACAGAACTTAGAAATAGGTGTACCTTTGTGAGACTCTGCAGTATGAACTGTTGTTGTTAAGTGCTGTTGAGTCAGTTCCAACTCATAGTTACCCTGTAGACGGTTTCCAAGGAGTGGCTGGTGAGCTTGAACCACCAACCTTATAGTTCAAACTGACTTTGCAGTCTAGCGCATTAACCCACAGCGCCACTCCAGGACTCCAGTATGAATGAACTGTGTTATTGTTAAAGTGCCGTCCAGTCGATTCTGACCCATAGTGACCCTGTATAGGGTTTCCGAAGAGTAGCTTGTAAGCTTGAACTGCTGACCTTGTGGTTCACAGCAATTTTGTAATCCAGCACATTAACCCACAGTGCCACACCAGGACTCCAATATGAACTGTAAGTCATCAGAAATCTTTTGTGGTTATATGCTGTGCAGTCAGTTCCGACTCATAGCGAACCTGTACAGGTTTTCCAAGGCTTTAAATCTTTACAGGGAACAGAAAACCTCATCTTTCTCCCGCGGAACAGCTGGTAGTTTCAAACTGTTTAACTTGCAGTTCACAGCCTGATTCGTAACCACTATGCTACCAGAGCTCCTTACGCTACCAGAAATCTTTTAAGTCATAGCAAAGTTACGTAGACGTTTTTATGAACCATGGGCATACAAATAGAGAATGTATGTGCAGAATGTGATAAACCACCCTGAAGTCTAGCTCACTTTGACATGATAAACCCCATGCAACATTAGAAAATTTCCAGAATCTTTGTTTTCGGTCCCTTAAGATAGATGAGGATGGACAGCTGCCATGCGCAGACTTTAACTCATGGCATGCTCATTCACAACAGAAGAAAACTTTGCCGACTCATGCATCGTCCTCCACACAACAGCCTGTTCAAGTCCCTTGATGTGGCTATTTTGCTGGTCTTTTTCACCAATGACCTCTCTCACCTTCACTGATCATCTGCTTCTTCAAACATGATGTGCCCCTACAGTCATTGATCTGATGAGGTGTCCCAAGCAAGCTAGTTGGACAGTTGTTGTTGTTAGGTGCCATCGAGTCAGAGCTGACTCATAGCGACCCCATGCACAGCAGAACGAAACATTGCCCGATCCTGGGCCAACCTCACTACCACTGCCACACTTGAGTCCATCAGTGCTGCCACCTGGCCAATCCATCTCGTTGGGGGGTCTTCCTCTTTTTCTCTGACCTTACCAAGCATGATATCCTTCTCTAGCAACTGTTCCCTCCTGACAATATGTACAAAGTATAAGAGATGAAGTTTGGCCATCTTGGCCTCTAAGGAGCATTCTGGCTGCACTTCTTCCAAAACAGATCTATTGGTTCCTTTGGCAGTCCATGGCACTTTCACTATTCTCCAACACCACAACTCAAAGGCATCAATTCTTCTACGATCTTCCTTAAATTCACTGTCCAGCTTTTGCATCCATATGAGGTTATTGAAAAT